CTCCCAAATGAACTCTTGCTCTGGATCTGCAAGAGCCTTGATAAAACCGACATCGTTTCCTTGACCGCTTGCTGTCGGAGAACGGCAGCAATCTGCACAGAAGCTCTATTTGATTGCCTCCAGCACGATGAAATGCCAACCCTTTATCGAGCCATACTCGCAAGACGACTAGACGTTGCGCACCTTTTGTTGACTCATTACCACGCAAGCCCCAACTCCGTGTACCGTGGGATGAGCACGCTTCTGCTTGCCATTGAGATGAGCTATCCACAAGCGGTTAACCTCATGCTGGAACATCACCCACGGCTGTCCTATATTTGCGACTTTCAAGGTCGAGGCCCATTGTCAATTGCGATCGCAAAGGGCAGTTTCGCCATCGTTGAACGCCTGTTGCAGTACCCAGCGCTGGATGTCAATGACCGATGCACCGATGGCATGTCCGCTTTGATGTACGCAGTGGAACACGCTGAGCACGCCATTCTGAGCCATCTTCTGGCCGATCCCCGCGTGAACGTCAGCATCGAAGATCGCTTTGGGCAGAATGCGCTACACCTCGCAGTCCGAAAGGAAGACCATATCTCAGTGCAGATCCTGGCCCGAGACCCTCGCTTGGATGTCAATTGGTGCGGTACCCACCGAAATACGGCACTACTTCTCGCGGTCAAAATCCTCAAGGGAAGGTCTTCACGTCGGATAGTGGAAGCCCTACTGCTCAACCCAAAGCTTGACATCAATCACCAGGATTCTAGAGGGCGCACGGCGCTGTGGCACGCGGTAGACCTGCAGAATGAGGAGCTAGTGCAACTGCTCTTGGACCAGGATAGCCTCCGTCTGAATGATGCCGATGACGGCGGTCTTACCCCTCTTGCGCGAGCAGCGGAGCATCAAAGCCCTCGCTTGCTACAGATGCTTCTGAGACAACCCAAAATATGTATCAATGCCACGTCGAGCTTTTCCCCGCTGTGGGCCGCGTGTCGGGCAGGTTCGCTCGGGGCAGTCCAGAACTTGTTGACCCAGAGATCCATTCAGATCAACGTAAAAGCCCCCTCTGGAACTTCGCCCCTTCACGTAGCTGTCATCAACCAACACTTAGATATTGTGTCTCTTCTTCTCTCGCAAGGTGAAATCGCATTGAATGAGGCTGGGCCCTCGGGCCTCACGGCCCTCATGTTTGCTGCTGCAAGCGGGTATACTGCATGTGTTGAACGGCTGTTGCGCCACCCACAGATTGATCTCCAAGTTCAAGATCCTTACGGGTACTGCGCTTTCAGCTTGGCGATACTCAATAGACATGCTCGGGCAGTGGATCTCTTAAGCAGTGCATTTGTGCGGCAGAGAGCACAAAAATTAGGCTGCCCATCGAGCTAGCTTTGCCAAGACTGAGGGGAGGAGAAATAGAAAATTTGAGTAAAGTTACTTTGCCAGACTGCTATACCCCCCATCTAGGTTCAGATGACTCAGAAATTGCTAGGTAGCTCAGCTCAGCGAGCACGGATGTTAGCCAACAGCCTACTGGAAAGTGCGGTCCGCTCAATCACAGATTTTCCCGGTTCAAGGACACGGTACTTGAGTATAATACCGTAGCACTGGCTGTCCGAAGGCTCCATTGTTTTCTACCGTTTGCGCGTGATATAAGCGTGATCGGCCGCGAAACAAGATCCCAAAGCGCCGGATAGGAGCCTCTGTTCTAGCTTCACTAATGGCCCGCCCTCCGTCTAATGCATCGAGTGTATACAGTCGCTCGCCAGATACACCAAGACCACACTCCTCAAGGGCTATGCCTGTCCCCGTCTGGGACGATCTTCCCGAGATTACACCACTGGACCATCGGATCTTTGTGGCGGGGAGAACGACCATGGCATTAGAGACGACAAAGACACACCTCAGTACAGCAAAGAGCGTGGCACAATCCCCACTAGACCCAATCACTGAGAAGCGGAGCCAGCGTGATCAGCAAGCTCACGAAAATGAGTTCTTCCGCACCTGTTGCGCGAATTTCTGCCATCTAGCAACAGCCGTGGTTGACATCACACAAAAGCTTGTATTGGAAGAACACTTCCATTCCGACCAATTCGCCCCGATCAATGCACGCTTATGCCGGGCTACATTGGCTCTCTGGGCAGCCTTGGACGCATCAAGGGTGGAGGAGAACAGGGCGGAACGCATTTGGATGCAGGAATTAGATATGCCAACAGCTTCGGTGCCATCTTCCGAGTGGATCTAGAGGTTTTTGGCATCGTATACGATTGAAGGTCGAGCTGGTCGAGTCTTGTGTATTGGGGTCCTGAGATTGTTCAGTGAGTTGTGAAAGGCGAGGCAACAGCCCTGGATGAGCGTTTCGAATGCGTACATTCGTTTCAGGTATGATGTGAGGGCCAGTTGGGCAGTCAGCTACCCTGGACCAGCCCAGACGGTGGCGGTTGGCGGGCCAGGCTTTGTTGACGTGGTTCAAGAAGGCGGTGGCAGTATCTTCCGGATGGCAGACTGACCAATCATGGTGGCTTGAGGGTTCAACTCGGCAACTTCAGTTGAACCCCTTGTCGGGTTTTCCAAATCCTGGACCTGGAGATATATCATTCTAATTCTTGCATGTGGTCTGTTCACATCGTAATCCCTGATTAAAAAATATGAAGATTCATCTTCGTTCAACTCATTTGCCTAATAAACACAGTTCTGCCCTGTTTATTGGGTTGTAAAATTCCTCAACATCGGGGGCTACACGAACTATATATCTCAGACTTCAGACAATCATGTTGGAGTAATACATCACAATTTCTAGCGAATAACGAAATTTCGATCTCCGAGTTTGATCGCGACCGCTGATCTTGCAGATCTACCAAAGCCTCTGAGGCACTTGGGTATAGATATCCCGCTGTCACGTAGTCTGGTAATCCTGAGGTTGGTCAGGTTGGCGAAAGGCGGAGGATGTGGAGACTCCGTCACTGCTGCGTCGGCCGCATCTTCCCAACAACCTCAAACAGTCGAGGGAATTGGCCGTTCAATATAGCACCATGGCTTTCTAGGCTGACCACATTGGATCGCCACGCCCTAAAGGAGACTTAGATCGCAGAGTGTGGTTACTGGATACGACCTGATATACTTTCAGCGACGGTATAGAATCAATTCAAAGGCCAACCCTCGGTGTGCCGGAGTCGCGAGCTCTACGATAAATTTTCAAAAAGACAATAGTATTGGAGATTTCTTGTCGCTCTGATGAATTGGTAGTTTTGAGCAAATTTTCGATATTTCTCTCTCCTTCTCCTTTCTTTCAATCATCGAAGAATCTCCGATGATCTCCCGAAGTTATGATCCCTAGGTACTGGATTTCTCCTGCTAAATTTTGGCTACCCTTTCCAGATTAGTGCTCACTGAGTCGCCGCTTTTGCTCACTGAGTAGGACTGAGCACGGCCTCCGGCTCACTGAGCCTGCTCCAACTCATGTGGTTCACCCACCAATCGCACAATAGAGGGCTACCAGTATGAAATAGCCACCCCAATAAAACACATGGCACTAGTGAAGATGAGCGGATCTACTTTTTAATCAGTCTCCCATCAAGAAAGAGATGACTTGGTGCATATGACCATAGCATTTCACATATTGCGCTTCACCACGACGATCAGCAGTGTGCGATCAGGATTGCTGGCCTATCAGACTCTGCATAGATTTTTGCTCCCGGGAGCCACTCGCCTCAACTCAACTACTTTCTGGCTGAAAGAAATTAATTGACCTATCACAGTTACTTCTAAGAAGCTAGTTGCGATGGCTTGGATCGGCTGTTTAATCTCCATCTCCTAGGAGCTATAAATGGTTGTGATTAAGATTTTTATTAAGCCTTGTCACCCGTAGCTCTCAAGAACCAGCTAAGTTTACAGTCACACCGTCCCTTATTTCTTTATCATTAAATTCGAACCCTAAAATATTTAGGGATAAAAGTGTACTTGAAGGACCTCTTCCTCGAGTCTTAAATCAAAGAATTATCCTTAATCTATTTATGTCTCATACAATATTACTTAGTCTTAACATACTATAGATCCAGTACAATACAGCCGGTCTTCAATATCCTTTAAACGATGAATAGCCACCACATTTCATTTTTCACCCGATACTAAAGACAGCACAGGTAATTTAAATTTTCTACTCGATACCCTAAGAGCTAGGGCCTGCTAACTCGATTTCAATATAACAGATCATCCCACCTCCAAACAATAGCAGATTTACCCTTATAGCGCTTCGATACCGAGCCGAGCAATTCCTTGCAAACTCCAGCTGCTTTCCACAACCAGATGTAGCGATTTCAGAGCAAGGAGGGGATTTGATGGGAGCAATCAACAGTCACAGGCTAATGTTGGTCCAAATGGAGAAGAGGCTGGCCGAACCTTGATTCCAAAGATTGCCACTGTAACAAAGACTTTGCAGGGGAAGTGTAGTCTTAAAAAAGTCCTTTTATATCACTCACAACGATCAAATATTTCTATGTGCTTATCTCGCTCTTATATATTTTTCAACACTTTCGTTTCCATGTTTCTAAAGCCGCCCCATTGCCTGGTTGCACATATGTTTAGTCATCACATTAATGGAGCAATCAAATAATTGATCCGTGTCCGATCCTGCTAAAGGGACGGAAATATGGAGAGAAAGAGGGAACGTGGGGTCGAGCTCGGATCTAAGCCCTTCCGGGCGGTGAAGGCGGGTCTAGGCCTCGCCAAACCCGCCCCAAAACCCAGACCCGCCCACGAAAACCCGCCCTGTTGAAAATATCCCGGTTGCTGAGATAATAATAAGGCTGGGGACACGTGCATATACATATATACTTGACTCAGTCTACTTGTATCTTAGACAATCAATACGTTTAACACAACACACAATCGATCCCTCAATAATACAAAACACTGGAGTATCACTTAATAGTTCAACAACCCGCGATGGGTAACCCGTGGGCGGGTTGAAAAATGAAAACCCGCCCCAAACCCGCGTTTGGCGAGGTCTAGGCGGGTCCATATCACGTGACACGTCTTTCAACAGATCCCTGGTGTGCCAGAGGAACAAAAGAGGTCGGATCAGGGGCAAGCCAAAACACTAAAACCTGACCAGAATCACTTCCGATTGTCACCCTTCCTCCTGAAATATCGAAGCAGCGATCAATTTGATAATCAGGAGGTCGACATTTTATAGGCAGCCAAAGCAAAGGGTCACCGTTCCAACTGATCCAAGTCGACCAATTGCAATGATCTGAGAGCAGTCCATAGCCACGGACCGTACCCCTTGGTCCTGATTTTTCTGCACTTGACTCAACTTCCTTTTCCTGGTATCCATGTTCCATTGCGCCTAAGTTGATGGTACCCCATGGCGTTTTCAGAATGTTTGGGCTCATCCTGTCAAACTGGATGAAAGGGGCTCCGAAATCCAGCCTTTTCAGGCACTCACCAGTGACTGGATTCCAGATGGTTATGAATGTTTCAGAAGCAGATGCCAACTGATTTTCAAGAGGTGACCATGCTATACTTAGGACAGGCCAATCATGGTTCCTGCCATGCTGAAGTGTTTGCGTAATAATTCCTGTGGCTGGATCAAAGATGAGTATTCGTTCAACGCATGCAAAGGCTACTTTGTGGTCATCAATGGACCAACCAGAGGGGAATCGCGAGCTCATTATTTGGAGGTCCTTGGGATATCCCAGTCTACTTCCAAATTCCTGGCTAGCCTCTTGACGGATCTCGATATATTGCTCACCAGCAGCGGCAAGATTCCAGCCCCGCACTGTAAGATAACTAGTTCTGAAATCACAATGAGCTGATACCGACACAACATGAGACCCGCTGTTGGACCAAGCCATCGACTGAAACTCAAGACGATCATGATGTCCCACATGCAGTTCATAGACTAGCTGTCCGCTATCTGCAAGACAGATCTTTATAGTTCCATTCCTTGAAGCTATTGCAATAAGACAGCCATCGGGACTCCAAGAAACGGCGTGACCAGAGAAAAAGATGCCTTTGAACGAGGAAACCAATTTATCAGTGACAACATTCCAAATATGAACCGCAGTCTCGTGGACGGTGGCCAGATGAATGTCGTCTGGGGACCAGAGTATTTCATAGACAGAATCGGAAATATCAGATAATGATGAACTCTTAAAGAAATCCGGCTCCCATATATTGATTAATGGCTCGGATGAGGATGACGCAAATCGCTTTTTGTCGGGAGACCAGCATATTTGCGAAACACTCTCTTCCACTTCAAAAAGGCAGAGAAGCTCTCCAGTTCTTGGATCCCGAATTCCGAGATCCATACCTTCCGAGCTTGCAACGGCAAGCTGTCCTCCATCGGGCGACCATTCGATCACAGGGATTTCAACACCAGTAGTTTCAAAAGCGGAAAGAGCCTCCCCATCGACAAGGTCCCAAAGGTGGACCCAGCCATCTTCCGTTGTTGTCGCCAAAAGTTGACTGTCTGGAGACTCGAAATATGCAACATTCTCGCCCCTCAAGGCGACAAACTGATTTTCCAACTCGATACTTTTAACCAGTGCCCCGGCATTGGTATCCCATATCTTGACGGCTGGCGGATCACCACTTCCGATGAGAACAAGCCAATCATGGTACTGGGACCAAAATACTCGTTCTAATGTCTGCTCGGGTAGCTCGGGTAGCTCGAATGACTGAGGATGGGCATGTTGACTTTCAAATAGGTCAAAAACCATGAGACGGCTGTATGTTGGGCCATAATCATCATCATCATCATCATCATCATAATGATATTGCAGTGTCGCGAGCTGTTCCCCATCTTTAGACCAGGAGATGGAGGATGGGATGTGGCGGTTACCATCATCTACTGTGATCGATTGCAAACATTTTCCCGTGTGACAGCTCCATACCGTGAGTTTATCTGGTGCCAAGAATGCGATTCTGCTTTTATCAAACGACCAGGCCATACATCGGTAACGCAAGGCGGATTCAATTTGATGAAGGAAGACAGAAGAAATACAGTGGCCAGTATTGGTGTCGAAAGTTTTTAGGAAAGAGCTTCCAGTGACATACATCATATGCTTTCCATCCTGCGACCAGGAAAGAGCTAGAATTGAGCCACCAGACGTTTCAATGGTATGGGTAGATGAATTCCAGGTATGCCGTATGATCGGTGGTTTGATGAGCCAGCTTGCTCTTTCTTTTTCGTAAAGCTTCAACTTGACAATATTATTGTCTGGGCTGAAAATTAGGCATGAGCTATAAATCTGTAGCGGGTACCTCTCGATTGCTTCTCTATGAAGTTGAATGAATAAGCAAGCATCGGTCACAAATCTCGAGAGCTCGGTGGAATGGCAGGCTGTCTGTTAAAAATGTACTTATCAGCAGACAGTACTTGGAGTTTTCCAGATCGGCCATTTGTCTATCAGTCCCTCACTTCAATACCAAAAATACATGGCTAGGCCCAAGTACTTGAAAAGATGGGGTTCCCAGGCTGTAATATAGTTGTCTCCTCAACCAAATTGAAGGAGTACGCAACCATTCAAATGTTTGAAGTGGAGAGAGAGAGGAGCTGAGAACACTGACCTGGAGCAAGCTCTCCAATTTTCGCATCATTTCGAACCCCCTCCAAGTACAGCGAAGAAGACATAATGCCTCTACCCAATGGAGGAACTTTTCTGAAAGAAATGAAGCTATCGCGAGACTTTCAATCATCAAATCACAGCCAAGAAGGTGATCAATCCAATATATGGAGGCGTATCGGACTGATGCCAATGGATCAGGTGTTGGCGAAGTGAACTCCTTAAATGAGTGTACATAGTCACTAGCAGGATGTTTGAGATGATATATGTCCTGTCGCAATGTTCTTTTTATCAATTTTAGGCACGCGTGTAGGATCCTTTGGTGCTCATTCTTGATCTCAGAGGAGTATAATGATCGATTGTCAAGTAGAAATTCCCTTGCCGACTGGTGGATCCAAAGTACCTTATCTCCTCGGATACTTAAGAATGAGCCACAGAGCTTGACTATATGCATTAGGATCTGATGGTTCCTTGATGATCGAGAGGGCAAAGTCACAAAGGTTGGAAGCTCGTCTAGTGTCAATGGTCGGAATACTGTTGACAAGGTTGATAAAAGCTCCTTGCAAAGCTTTGCCTCCTCTGATCGGTTGATTTTCTCAATCATTCGCTGGTAGAAATGAGTGAGGCTAGGGGGAAATGTTGCCAATTTCTCTTCGACCCGCCAACTTGACGTTTCCATCAATTGGTCGCAGACCAGCGCCACCCACAAGAATGTTTCACTTGAATTAGAAGTAAGATAAGACTCGACAATGTCTTGAGTATGTAAATCATAGCTCTTTTGCTTTGCCAGTAGATCAACTTTGGAACGGATAAATGCATCCACCGCTATCCCAATAGACTCTTGGTTCATCTCAAGAGAAAGCACCAGACAACGGGACATTAAAAGCTGCTCCTCAATTTCAGGCCAGTCTCGGCTAGACACAATCCATCTCACCTTCTGGTTTATAGATGATCTTCTCACAAAGTCTATCAATTGTGAACGTCCACTCGTACATTCATCCAGAGCATCCAAGATAAAGACCACTCTCTGTAAGTTATCGTCTTTCATAATATCAAAAAGTATCTCGGAAAGAGCTTCCCAGGAGTTTTTACCTCCAAAGATCTCTCTTCTCGATCCCATCGATCTCGCACATGAGACAGCAGTTTCGGCCTGCTTTCAACTAGCAGGAATATCAAACCTCTGAGCACACATACTGCACTCCGCAGCTCAGGCTCGTCGGTTTGACAAAAGAAAAATGATAAGGCTACATCATCAGCAGATATGGCTTGTAATTCATCGATGATGCCGCACAAGAGCATGGTTTTACCCTTTCCTGGGTCCGCTTTTATCCAAAGGGGCCGATTATCTTCATGGCCCCCCTCTTTATCCACTCCACATGCCTGCTGCCATTGAATGAACTCTGGGTTGGACAGGATCCAGCGATAAGACTCTTTAAGCAGCCCACCCTTGAATGATTCAATCCTGGCCTTGTCATCTTTGGGGTTCGTCACTCCCAAATCTCGTAGACATTGGTGGTTCAGCGTGGCCTGGGAGGGTCCTAGTGGAAAAAAGAGAAATTTAATTAGCTGGGCCACTGAGCTGGCAAATCAAAGTTTAAACGAACTTTCGTGAATGTGAAAGTTTGCCATGCCATTGAGGTTGCCAATCTGAACTCCAGAGTTGTTTGGACCGAAAATTATATGGGAGGCCATGATGTACACAGCGTGTTCATGCTTCGTAAAATTTAAATTCGAAAGGGAACAAAGCCGTCATGTGCGAGAGACTGAAACTGATACTATGACAAGTAGGATGTCTCGGTAGGAACCCTGGAAGTGTTGGTGAGATTACCCCTCAACCCAACTGAGGCAATCACGTGTGCCTAGCGCTTAACTAACCCCACATAATGCTGTATCGCCCAGTGATCATGAATATTTGTATGGGGGCTAAAAAAGCGATTTTTACAGGCAGCTTAGTCTATCGCGCCGTATACCGTAAAAGGCTTTAGATACTATCAATCCGTTCTGTATAGCCTGCGGGAAGATCCCGAGCTGATAAATGCGGAGGAAATGTGGAAGAGAGGGCCAGGACCTGAATAGAAAATAGATAGAGAGAGAGAGGTGTAGATGGCGCTGGGAGTTGAAATCTGGACTCAGTGATTGCTTAGTGAGTGCTCAGTGAGCCTGAGCCTGATCGCCCTTATTAAAGCGGCGTTGGCCGAATTGGTCAGCCCCACTTGTCAGGAGAAATCCAGTACGTATAGCTACATACATAGGAGGGACGTGCGAATCCAGCAACCTTCTGGCCAACCAAGCAGGCGAGTTATGACATCATCATACATAATAATATGTGATGAAGCGGGGCCTACACAACAAATTAGGATCTAGCGTAAAGGACTAGAGCTTCGTCCACAACAGACAAATACTTCCAAAAGAGGGATTAATGGTTGATGGAGAGCTCTATCCGACTTGCACATTCAACTCCCGCCTAGGGCCGGAGAGGGCCGACACCCGCAGGGTGGCCCCGTATACCGAAGGCCCGCCCGAACCAAACGCCACAACCCCCGGAGGGAAAGTCTAGAATGGTCGCGCGGGCACATTGGGAGCGACCGGAGGGAGCGGACAACTATCGACACGTTCTACCTAGTCAGGGCCTGATATTCCCACGGGTGATTTGGGAATGGGGGCCTTTCAAGAGTCAAGCTCCAGGCTCTGATCAAATGAATCTCTTCTCACAACATCGTTCCAAATCTTTCAAAGTGGAGACTTGGCATCATGGAACGAGGTTGATTCCAAGCAGAATCTTAGAATGATAGAGCCCGTACGCTTAGTGTGCGACCTTTCATTACAATAACCAGCGCGGCTCGGACGGAAACATTGGACGTAGCTGTAATACGTCTTAACACTGAATTTTCACTTCTTGAAATTACTATTGGAGAAGGCCTTCCCATGTAGACCTGAGATCTGAATAGTTGACTCTCGTCGAATTTCCCGGACAAGAGGATTGGAGGAAGTCCCAAGACGACGATAGTGGGTTGATCTTGCCCGTCGCCTATGGGAGGCACCGCCGGCAATTGGAAATTGCCTCGCCGACCCCCCTGAAGGGGGTCTCTGGGGGACCCCGCCTCCCGGCTCGAGGGCGCTTGGGCAATGAATCAAATCCGGATGAGGCCGCAGTTTGGAAAAGTGATAACTGTGGATGGCTAGCGTGGCTCCCTGTCTCACCTCACCCAAGTCAACACCCACACGAAATGAACAGTTTAGGACACGACCTGCTGTTGGGTCCGCATTATGCATTCTGGTGCGCATCCCACTGTCGACATTGGCGTTTATGATGCGTCTGCGGTATGATTGATTGTTGAGTCGCAGAGGTGAGACATGATGACGTATGCTGCGAGAGGACCAAGTTGATTGGAAACTTGATTCGACACATGGAGATCTGAGGAGCCAATTCCAATGATGCGGCTCCGTTCCGGCACCAGCCTCAACACGCCAGCGTCGTGTTTATGTGGCTGCGTGGACTTTCCGGTGGGCCGACTTATGAAGCAACTTCAAACATAAAGACAGTGCCAACCTTTCCTGTGCCTTGTGATTTTTCAAGACGGCCTACATTGACGGAAGCAGACTTGGCCCGACGCGCCGCTGACTGGACTTGCCACAGCTAGCTTCGCTAGTGCATGCGTGACGTCATTTCCCAAACGCGTCTCCGCCGGCCTTCTTCGCGATGAGTTGATCTCACAAGTGAGCATCAATGCAAGAACTTTGAATTTCCACGAAGATTGGATCATTTTACTTTGCGCTTTTCCAGCGGCTAGTTTTTCTTTATTGTGTCTTCTTGCTGGGGCTACACCATCTCGCACACTTAATGATATCGACGTTTGTCAGCGGGAAACCGTCAGACAAATGGAAAGGAGGCCAGCAGCGAGCTTCAATGGTTCCAATATTGCATTAGGGAGGGCAACTTGGGTCTTGACCCAGTTCAAGCGAATCAAGCAAACAGACTCGTAACCAATTTTGAGGGCGCTGCGTTGGCAGGGATGCGACGTTCAACAGTGGGATCAGCAGCAAGGCCAATCGAAAACCTGACTTCATGAGAGTTCTTCCATACATGATGGAGACACAATGCCGCCGCATAGCGAGTTATAAGATTTCACCGCGTTGTTGAAGCGAAAGGTCAACTAGTCTGACTTCCATTGGGGTAGCTCACAAGCGCAACTCGCCCTGATAGGGCTTTAACGGTGTGGTATTCGAACTTACCTACTCGCTTAGCTTTTTTGTCTAGAACGAAAGGGCCGGGCTCTACCAGATACCAATACATTACCGTGGAATATAATTTGTGACACGAGCGCTGCCGGGTGGGCTCTCGTGGGATTTCCTGAGGACGGGCATCCATCGCGACCACAAAGCTTGAAGTCACAGTTTTGACATTAGAGGCTTCTCTAACGGAGGTCTTACCATGCTGGATACTTGTACCAGTCGGCTATTAGTTGTCTACTATGATCTAAATGAGCTCGGTGGTGGTTTCACTGCAGCAAATCTCGGTCGGAGTAGAGGCCAGGCAAGGAAGTCGCTTCCCTGCCCATGGCGGGTGGTTCTGCTATGTGTGATGCACGATTTTCCTAGGCGCGTCTACGGGGGAACCCATCGCCAAACATTCAGTCCCATTCTGGCGTCCTTGCGAGAGGCGTCCTTATATGGCCAGGCGGCTCTCAGTGTTTCAACAATTGATCATTGGAGAGATCACTGCCCGTTCCTGACGTGAAATGGAACATCTATCGGTCTATTTGCCATCGCCGCACGCTTGACCTTCCGTACGATGCCGTCTACCGCTGTCTGACCCCTGAGCGACAATTCGAGCCGAAAGGACAGAGCCACCTTCAAATGCCAGGAATAAGGGTTCCTTTCACAGAAGGACACTGTTTCCTCGCAACTGGATAAAATTCGATGTGCGAAATTGTACTCTGAAAGCGAGTCGGCATGTATTGCTCTCTATTGACTGATATGCCTATAATACACCGGCGGGAATGGCTGGCTCAACTCCTCGATGTTCGGGCTAAAGTATCCTCAAACCTAGACAAATGGGAGGGCAGATGATAGAGTAGCCTGGGGTCACTGAGGATTCACTCTTTTGACACTCAGAATACAATTAGTCTTTGATTTCCGCTTCAGCTCGGAGCTCCTGATCGATTCACGGGTCGCCTTCCATGAGGCCAAACCAAACCCCCTCCCATTCAAAGCTACCCATTTGATTCCTTCGAAATCTAGGTGATCGGCGGAGTGGCGTAGATGGGCGTCCCTCTCTGACCAGTCTAGCTGACCTGCGGGGTAGCGTTCGAGGTCTCTCTGGTTGCACTGCTTCCGCTTGCGAAATATGTCCTGGAATGGACCTGTATACAGAAGGGGGGTATTCCGCTGACGGAATATCGCATGGGGCAACTGTGGTGACACTCCAGCTTCTGGCTGTATCAATGCTCATTCGAATCTTCGATGGCCAGCCACGAAACAAGGCGTCTTGAGGCTCTTCACTTCGGCTGCGTCTCATTAGTAACCATTTTTTTGAGAGACGCGTTCATTGCACTTACCAGACGCAGCATGACTCGTGCAACTCAGGCCTGCATTGCTTCAACCACTCCTCCATACAACCCAAGTGTGACAATGCTTGGTAGCGTCGACACCGTAGAATTACATTTTCGTCGATAGGATTCCCATTTTCGGCGAGACAAAATATGCAGTATATGTCATCGACGTCTGTGCCGATTTCTAGACGGCGGACCTTAACGCCCTGTCTCCCCGGCTGTATGCGGGAGGTCAAGGTCGAGGCGGCGCTCTCAAGAGGATCAGTGAGGTGATTCAACTCGTGATGATCCACCGCATCCGCAGAAACGCTCCCGGCTCGATTTTCGTACGACACCTGGTCGGCCATGTCTTCGCCATTGAGCTCTTGCATAGAGGTGGTGCTTGCGTGGGCCAGCTGTGATTCTGCCTGCGCACGGCTGTTGATAAAAATCTCGCCAGGCCGCTCATCGAGATTTCTTCCGCGATGCCAAACACGAAGAAAACCAACAAAAATCTCGCGCCGCATCGAATGTTTTGGAAGAGCATCGTCAGGCCGGAGTCACCGGTATAGTGCGAGGAGGCGTTCTTGCCCGGGCTTTATAGATGGTCTCCCAATGGCTTATCACTACCGGGTCGTACGCAAGAGACTGGCTACATTCACATATTCTACCAGTGAACCCACCTACATTCCTCACTCAGCAACATCCTATGTCTCTGCCTTCAGATGACGGCGGTAGATGATCTCCTTGGCCGTTTGGGGGACACAATTTGATTACTACATAGGGAGTCTGCTTTGATGGGGGTTGGCTAAGTGTGAAAGATCGCCGTCAACTTGGATCTGTTTCACCTAATGAGGCCTTGACTCCCTGGAAGATCAACCTAGCGTGTGAGGATCTCACGTATCGTTGGATGAGGAGTGTGTCTTCCGAATGAATAATCAATATTAAGAAAGCTATAGTCGACTCTAGATATAAGACGTAGCGCGAGGAAGCAAAAGAAAGGTAGCTTCCTCGCGTTCAGGGACCCCAGATAAGCAAGCTATGTGGGTCCACCTCCACTTATCATGTATACTTCATGTCAATCTCTGACAGGGAGCAACAAAGCTCTTAGGACCTAATGATACATTCCTGGGCTTGCTTCGGCTGGTCATGGGAATCTGTAGCAGGTTTCTAAGAACAAACTGACCTCCCAAGAGCAATAGTATCCCGACCAGCGAGCCCAGAATCGCATTCTAACTCGGGACACTCCATTCGATCCCAGAGAGCTTACGGCCATCTTCAGGAACTGCATATGTGATCCCAGGAGCAACAAAGCTCCCGGGAACAAGCAATCTTGTCCCCGCAGACGCTTCCTTCAATCCCAGAGACTGTTCCCACGGTCCTGGGAATCTGTAGCAGACAACCTATAGGCTTCTTTCCTTTGGTCTAGGGGGCACCATCTTGTCTTGGGCCTGCTTTATCGTCGAGGCGGTAAAGTAAATGCATGAATATTTTGACTAGGAGTAAATAATATAGAAGGAGAATTTGATAACCTCGATGATAACGTGATCGGTGGTTCCTAACGATGCCCCTGTTAAGTGACTTTCCTCACACGGAGTACCCAACGTAGAAGACATATCCTCTTAGTCCTGTCTTCGACGATCTCGGGGGCCTTACCTTTGATATCGGGCTTGTCGAGATAGCCTCCCCGGTAGCAGAAGTCGAGCATTTTCTTCAACAGTCCAGATTATCCTCAGGAATGTCGATTGTTCTGAACTGTGACTCCTGGATACTAAGTATTAGTCTAAGGGTCCAAATAATGGCGAATAACTGCCCAGGTAGCTCGAAAGAATATTGCTAAACAAAGTAAGCTTTGATTGAAATAGTCACCAACCCAGCCATGGCGCGGCAGACGTCTCTAAATAGAGAAAAAAAGAGATGACCCAAGGGCCTCGAAGATCGTAAAAGTATAATCTGACACGCAGGCTCGAAGGCTATGGTCCTCCCGGCATGTGTCCGCAAGTGCATCTCGTGCAGAACGGACAATTCGCAAAATTACATCTTCGGTCCATCAAGTGCGAGCCCGTAAAATGCCTCCTCACCATTCTAATTGGCGTATGTCTGGGGGTATTAGAAGCATGCGAATGTTAGCTCTATATTCGGGATAGGTTTTCCGCCAGCGATATATCTTTCCTCCTGCGGCGTAGTCGGCGGCGTATCGGTTTTGACCTTTTGAGCTGGCGGAGAGGGAACTACATCGTCATCGTCGGACGGCGCAGAGCGTTTCCGTCGTCCCCGAGGTCCACCCTCCTGAAAGCCGCAAATTTATATTCCAGCAGCAACAGCTTTGTTGCGCCGCGTCCACTCGTCTTCTAATTAATCGGTGGTGGGCCAAGTAAAAAACGTCTCCACGAGAAGAATCTGTTCCGATGGCATTTCAAACTCCTTCTGTAATACCTCGCGCGCAGGTTCATCACTGACAGCCCAGCCAGCTGTCTTTCAATGTCAATCACCGCCTGCTTGTAAATGCCACAGCAGGCATAGAGAAAAAAGGCACTGAAGTATAGCTGGGTCATGCATTGGGTACCCACGATATGATCAGTGAAAGCGGAGGCTTGGAGCTCGGGGGGACTACAGAATTTTAGAATACAGACAGTGCGGGAGGTGTCTCATCTATATATAGATGCGAGACATGCCTTTCAGATTAATTAACGATGTTGAAAGAGATAACCTTGATTCGAATGGGAAATATATAGCGTGAGCAAGCGAAAAACAGGCGTTCCAGATTGGGCCAGCAGGCCTTTTTCCACTGCTTATCCCGCGTTGATACGATGAAGCCGGATTATGTATGGGAGGTACTGGAAACCGGGACGCCTAACAAACATTCAACACATTGTGTCAAATAGCTCAATGAGTTTCTGTCCGACTGTCGGCTCAAGCTCGGTCCCGTCATGAGCAATTTTCACCTCACGATTGCTATTCCATGGATTTCTTAGGCCCCGAGTGCGATGAAAGGGAACTCGGTTGTACGATAACCACTGGACATGGAACGGTTTGCCAAATGCCTGCATCTCTTCATCGGATTTTTCATCGGCGCGCTGCTCGCTGTGTCTCTCCAAGGACTCGACTTCCCAAAATATTGTGTCCCGACCAGTATCGTGGACAATCTGGCCTCTGGGCGCCGTTAAAGAAGCCACTGTTGGAGTCACAACTAGACTTCCAGGTCTTCTAGCCATCGACTCGTGCTGTAGCGGCAATTTGAATGCAGGTCCTCCATTATCAGCGATCGGTGATGACATGCGGGCATATCCAAAATATTCACCGGACCTGTTCGCTGAAAAAATAAGGTAAACGTGGTTGGTGTTCCCAAAAGCGTGGTTCAACTTGAACTCGTTGTGGATCTGGGTTGTCCAAATCCCACTCTGCTTGCTTAATTCCAGGTCATTGACGGTCAAGCTTTTGATGATGAAATATCTTTCTGAAAAGTGGGGGCTCTCATTGGGAAACTTTGCGATGGCATCGCTTACTGCTGCCATGTGTTTTTCTTGAACGCCCAATGTCTCGCATGGCTGCTGTGAAGGAAAAGCGACAGCCTCATGTACAGAATCTAGTTCTGTGATAGATTTGCGGGGTCGGCATACTAGACGCACATCTTGGAATACTGAGTGATGGAGTCTTGCCAAAGCGGTAGCTGAGGCCGCCGCGGACCGGTAATTCACAAATGCACAGTTACTTTTGGATATCAAAAATACGCTTTCGATATCTTCAGTGGCCCCTTGAGAACAGTAATCTTTTAACTCCGTCAAATCTACCATGCGCGGTAGATTGCCTACCCAGAGCGGATGGGATTGTTTGGGTTTTCGTAATGGCCTGTGCACCGTATCCGGACTGACTGGCTTTGAATTGGCCAAAAGAGCATGTGTCGGAACATCAGCGGTGTAAACCCCTGAGCTTCTTGGGTTTGAACCATCTACAATGGTTCTCGAAACGTTATATTCCTTTTCGGTTGTTTGCTTGCAGATGCTGCTCTCTGACATGCATGAAGTCATTCGAACGCCCAGGGAAATCTGGTGGGAGTTAGGCCCATAGGTTGGGGGTGGACTAGTCGCGTAAAATGGCTGACTTGTATAGAATGCTACACATGGGACCTGATAGCCATCCCCGTACAAAGGCGACGGTCCGGAGATCCCATAGCCCATGCCCCATTGTCGAGGCGGGGGATATGAAGGTATGTATATGTGCGAGGGTGGTCCTCGAAAAGCTCCACCTCTCTCTTTCGGTGCGGTACTCATATAGTGGGGTAGTAATCGAAGCCTCAAAACTGAACCTGCAAGCTATTGATCATATGTCACCTTCTGCGGCCGAGCTTGTAGCGCGAAGGTAGTGTCTACCATCTCTGAATACGCAGTCAAGTTACAAGACAAAACAACACGTGATCTGCAGCCGAAACCGGTATATGCAAGGGGAGCATGAAAAACCAACCCCCTGCAAAAATTACAGGGGGTTGTTGACCACTTCCGGGGCATTCATTCTCCTTTGCTCCACCTTCCCTCACGGGCATGGGCTAGGGGAATGAAACTTCTCGGATTGAGATTGGTTCCTCTTTAAGCCAGGAAATCGCTGTGAAGAAATGTTGGAGTTCTCTTCTCACTTGGCTGACAGGAGCAGGTCTGTTGCCCTTGATACCGGACTTCTCAGGAGCGTCCACAGCTTCCCCTCTCTTTACGAGTGTGCCGTCAGTTTTGAGAGCACGTAGAATAAATCATACTTGCACAAAAAAGAGGAGGCTTGGAGGTTTGCTACACACTTATAACGATATCGATTGCCTTATTCATGATCTTTGCCATATACTTACTGCTCGTCGGGGACCCTTCTCGCTTTGAATTGAACATTAGGCAAATCGATCGACTCATGCTCCTTAGCCTCAAAGATTTGAACAACTGTGAAGGGCTATATACGCATAAATCCCACAGGAACATATTTTAGCAATGACTCCCATGTACTGGATTGTCTGTATCATCTTTCGATGTGCCTGCCGATTTGAAATGGCCTATATTTTTAAGCCTGCCTTTTTCCAGCGGACCCGCTCCAATTGTAGACTTGATTTCTGTAGATACAAAGTCTGTATATCTAAATAGACATGCAATACTCATGTGCTCCCATTTATGAGGGTACTAAGTTCATTTGCGTCGTTCTATTTCAATCGAGCTCCACCAATCACTAATGAAACCCTCAGAATACCGAGCCATCATTACTTGCACTCGGGCTCATGACCTGTTTTGGGATGATGCTAATCAAGTCAGAAAGCCCCACAGTTTGCTGTAGTCGATGGATGCCTTCCACAACCTCCGCTAAACGTGTATTGGCCTGATATTGGGACCACGAGTCCAAAAGTTTCTCGACTTCCTTCGCTCTTAGGGTAAACTCGTTCGCGGTTTTTGGCAAGCTCCCGTCCTTTAAATCCCTCCCGCCCGATAATTTTCACAGCTAGCAGGGCTTCCTGAAGCGTGCCTTTAAATGGGCATTTTGCTGTGATACTCGATGTAAAAGCCGGGCGCGATCGAGACAGTATTGGCTCGAGACGGAGGTAGGAATGGCGTGCAGCCCGTTTTTGGTGGCTGCGTTTTGAGCACATGGAAGGCACGGCAGTAAGAAATTTGTTTGCTATATGTTGATAGCAAGTTGATTCTGGTATTGTTAGCAATCATTACGAGAAAAGTCTTGTCACTCACCAGATACAGTCCCAAGAATTGCAAATATGCGTTCGAAGTCCTCCTTAATATAGCGGACCGCAGCTTCTCAATCGCTATAACTCGCATTATTCACGGCGGATATGACGTTCAAGCTACCTGACTCGATATCCTCCTCTAGGCATAAAGCAGTGATATGCTCAACTTCATCTTTGCTATGTGCAATGAATGCGAGCGCACCGGCAAGTTTACGCTCGGTGTCAGAAGATTCTGCAGATCGTCCTCTGGGGGCGGGTGGACAATGAGTGCGCTTACTCGATGGTGGCGCTGGTATCTTGCGAAGTAGGTAGTATACAGCTAAATTCTCGGCACAAACAATTTGTTATCGAAGATTGCGGACATTAGAAGAATGATGTTCTTGTAAGGATTCGGGAGCAAAGATATCCCGTGGAGAGTAGCTAGAAATTTAAATCTAAAGACCCCTGAGTTCTGTTTCCTATCCCCATTCCTTACCCCGCCTTGTGCGACCACAAAATCATTGGCTCTTGCTCAAGTCCACTTCGATTGGTCGGTCACTGACGCCCGCTCCCATGATTCCCAACGTCGCATTAATCTGGATTAGTCAACCAAGCAGAAAGACTGGATCTCCTTGGGAGGTCTGGATGCTGGCGTTGACTTTTAGGAAATTCTCTTCAAATTGCATGCAGGAGTTCGAATCTGGCTTTGACATTGCATTGGTTGCCTTAGAAATGAGAAAGGGATTAGGAAGGTCCGAAAAGGGTACCATGAAGAATCTTGGGACAGATGTTGACCCTCAGCCCGGTATGAACTTCACACTGTTCTTTTGATTTTTTTTTCCTGGTTGAGTTTCTGGTTGCATTTGAGTATGAGCGAGTCATTCAGTACAATTACGTATTGTACATATCGGAGATCAAAATTTGGCTTTGCGATTACAGGAATGGTAGGATACATCTTAGTCGCCCTATTCACTCCTACCTACTATGCGGGCACGCGCCTATTAACGCATCTCCCCTTGTCCTTCTACTCAGCTGATGAGATCGAACCAATCTATGACCCTCAAACCAATAACTTGATTGAGTGGTAAGCCATGTTGCACAACTTCTGTCGATTGTACAGTATAGCTAAACCACATAGCCTACAACATCATGAAACTGGTTCGCGAAGCTATTCTTTGACGCTGCTGGTAGCAGGATATCCTGTCGACGGTGCTGGTAGTAGGAATGGCCTCTGCCGGTCCAGCAGCTTATGGCGTTTGTCAAGCAAGGTGCTCATCAGTAGTGATGGCCTGTTATGCCGTAGCTGGTTCTACGTGGGGCGCAACACTTGGGCTTTCTGCGCCGGCTTCCGTCATCGCATGCAATTCGGCCTTTGGCACATGCCAAGCTGCCTGTGCCGCCGTTCTGATTGCTCCAACCTTATAACTACACGCTCCCAGATCTCGAGCCATATTCTAGTGTGAAATGGATCAATCTTCTCGTGCTCTACATCATTAGTCGCTTTCCCCGAAGCTTCAGACCCTTTGTTGTCCACCATTTCGTTTCTGGAGCATCGTCCAGTGTATCCCTGCATGTCGGAAATGCCTATAGCGATTTGTTCATTACTCAACACGCCTCAAGAGAATCTGCTGGCTACAGCTGTTGTACTATGGTCACTTCGTACCCGTCAAAAAAGGGTGCGAGATTTCCTATTTCAATATCGATTCGGCCGCCTGCATATGGCTCGAGACGGAGGTAGGAATGGCGTGCAGCCCGTTTTTGGTGGCTGCGTTTCTGACAATAGAATGAATGAAAAAAAAATATCATCATGCGGTTGAAGGTCAGACCGACTTCGAGGTGCACTGTACAATCATAGCGGGTAGTGCTAGCGACAATGAATCAAATCACAGGCGTGCTCGGGATTCAGAAGGAGCCATGCAGCTGTTTGCTCGCAGACAAACAGACTGCAGGGAACTTAGTTGATACGTAGGACTGTTCATTATTCTCTTCTTTTGCCACAAAAGACAATTTTGTGCCTTCTGCTTAAGGGTAGCCAAACCCCTTAACCGGCTCATTGGTCCCAGAATATATCGACTGCAGTGGAGTTCCCTAAATTTCCATGGAGATTCACGAGATACTTATACAGCAGGATGGTTATAGCTGCTGCCGAGTACAAAACGCCGGGTAAAGCCCTTCAGTCAACCCACCCCTGCAAGTGTGGATGGCCGCAAAAGTTTTGTTTTGTTTTGTTTGTTATTTTCTTATTAGTTACTTTCCAAAAGTTGTTGGACATCTTGCATTCTTGATCAAAGAGTCGAGTGAATGTACACAAAATGAAATACCGCATAAGTTATGTGTTTCCCATGAAAAGAATGTTACAGCGGCCCTCATTTTAAAAAGGGCTCGCTCAATGTAAGAATTACGCCAAGCCCTTGGCGATGGTACCCACGAACAATTGACAACACTTTGACAATCAGACCAATTCCGAGCATCGCTGTATAACAGTCAGGATGTGAATTATAAAAGAGTTCGCTTGACAAGTAACAGTTGTAATTCAGAGGAAATTGCTTGTTTGTTCCAGAGGGGACCTAGAGGCTATATATATGACGAGAATGTCAAGTTGATCGGAGATCAACCTGATTCTTCATACACATACTTCGGGGTTAATTCCGTTGGTTTGGCTTGATTCCTGGTCTGCACCAGCCTCAAATCACTACACTTTCCTCTTGAGACAAAGAGCGTCTTAAGATAGAGATTGATACTAGTCAATAGCGAAGCGGATACTGACTGAATCATGGCCCGCGCGGGATATACCGTTTTTGCAATCGGTTGTCTATCTGATTGGCTCCACGCTGCTACCCTTTGCTCCACTTTGGAGAACCGCTAATCGAATCAATCAATATCCACATAATCTGGGTCGCTCAAAACCTAGGCTCTTTTCTGCGAAATCAGAGATATCGACCTAGGTCTTGACAATTTTGAAGGCCACGCAAAAGAGTACAATAATGTTGCTTGTAACAGTGACAAGTCGCATCTTTTCTGCTTCTATTGATGAAGTAGGAATCCGATTAGCACCAAGATCACCCAGACTAGAACAACCCTAGTCATATCCAATCAAACACTCATAACATAGTCCGACATTTCAAGCTCGGCAATGATTGATAAATGAAATGTTTCCCGCATAGTTTCTGCCATGCAAACGTCGCGACCCACATTGGAGTTTTTGCTCAATATATTAGGCAGCAATAAGCGGCACGGGAAACTGTCGCCGATCCGGTATTGAATTCTTTCCTGATTGATTTGTCGCAGCACTTGAAGTTTCACCAACATACCTTTCGCCTTTCTGAACTAGCTACTTTGAAAGAGTAATTCCCTCAACGAATTATTTTGAAGCAGTCGTTTGAAATTCGAGCCCCTGTAGGATCACGTTTAGAAGAGTGATGGAAACTGAAGAGGCTACGGCTAGGCGCTATGTATTGTGTGGGATTTGCTTATATCCGGTTAACACCGCCGACTTTTGAGATGTGAAGTTTCAAGATATTTCCGTCAACATTGCTTTCTTCCACGATAATGTTCATATCCCTCAAAAAGAAATCTGTAAGGAATATTGCATGTTCTTAAGAGGAAGAAGGAGGAAATATTCGGATACGTTTAATATTTAGGACTTTTGATGTTCTGATAATATCAATTCTTGATGATTTTATTGCGCGGAATTATGCCAGTAGGCCTTCTCTATATCACGTAGCCATATTCAGTGCAAGTTGGATACATCACCCGAAACGAGTTTTGAGTTGCAAGTCATGCCCTTGGGGTAGTTTACCCTAAGAGATCCAACCCGGAGCATGTACTGAAGCACGACTAGTTTTACGGCCCGAGAACACATTATGTGAATGAATCTTTCTTGTCTTGGCTCGAAAAGCATGAAACGAGCATGACTCCAGGTCATATTGCAGAATATTTTACATAGAATTTTTACGTAGGATTTTCGACTTCAGAATATGAATGCGAATTTGATGAGCCTTTGCGCTCCCGCAAATCTTTAAATGGCTCCTGGGACCCAATTTGAGGAGTCATGGGGGCTTTTGTAACCCGAAGGCTAGTCCTGATGTTCCCAGATTCATTAATGACGAATTGTAGGGGATGTTTTTTTTTTACTTTTCGAAAATCTCACTTATGAATAACATGATACACACCTTGGCACCGGGAGACAAATGATAAAAAGAGCAATCATTTCCTCTGATTGAACTGGAGACCGAAAAGAGTTTAAAGGCAATACACGCGAGGTAGATCTACGCTAAATGCCGTCTGGATCATATGTAATGCAAATCCCATGAAGTAATAGTTGATTCAAGGAGTTCAGCGGATAAGTTGAAGCTATGGACTGTTCTTAGATACAGTAGGGGCTGATCTGGGAGAATATATTATATAAAGCTTATGAGCTGCTAGATTCTGTCAGTAGCAATACTTGAAACAGTCCCAAGCAGTCCCCAGCAGGGAGCTACCAGAGAACGTAGGAAGACACGCAAAACGAGTAGATGCCGCACTGCCAGGCCACCACACCCAGAAGTTGTATGATCGCTAAACGTGGGACAAAGCGACCGTACTGGCCCAACCCCAAACCGGCATGGCCAGACTTAATGCATTTCTCAATCAAATCAATGTGCTAGACGGATCAATGTGATTGCGGAGAAGCAAGAGAGACCGTGGAGCACTTCCTCTTCCGGTGTCGGAAGTGGACTGCACACCGGACGGAACGGTAACAGTACAATGTACCTACACTCACCGAGGGAACATATCATTCGCCCTGGGAGGGAAACAGACTTCTGATGATCAAAAGCGGACGCCAAACTTAGAGGCAGTACGGGCCTCCATACGTTCCGCCATCGCGATGGGCCGAGTCGAGGCCACTTAAACATATCGACCAACAAAACTCCCACCCCCTTCTTCCGACCCCACTCACCCACCACCTTGTGCTAGAAATGGTAGACGCACTCCAACTGCCGAAGATAGGATGCCGAAGATAGAAAGCTGAACACTTGGAGAAGCGCCTTCAAGTCAGCCTACTAACCACTAACCCACGAGAAACTCGCTTCGATACTACTTTCTGGCAATCTTTCGGATCAGCCGCTGGACGTTAATGAAGTGTTTGTTTGTTTATTTGTACATTACTGCAAAGTTGAATGTTATATTATCTCCCTTCCCTAGACCCCGTTTTTTCGCTGTATTTATTGCTCCCTTCGTCTCCAAAAACTACTGATACGTCTGAGACCTACTGGCTATCTTTGAAATGGGTCTTTCTCCTCGGGAAGAGAACAAGACTTGCTGCGTTCATACAGTAAAAGGTGTATCTTGCAAGAAGCGGGTCAAGCTGCGAATTACCGAAAAGGGCCATTGAAGGTATCGAGCGGCTATTTGGAAGTGTCGCAGGCTAATCCTGGGTCTGATCATTCTTTATCAACCGTAGAGCGTACATATGCTTCTTCTAGAGCGTGATTTTCGATGAAGTCCTCCCAAATGTATCACCTTCAGAATGCTTGCATTCGGTAGAAATTGGCGATTACTTCCAGCAAACACGCAATAAAGAACCAAAACGAAGGCTAAAAGTGACTCCCCGTTAATGACAAGAGGTCGGTAGCAGATCATCTAGTAGGCTGTCGTCAAAAACCAAGCAAGTGATTCGAAGAAGCAATAGTGCAAGTCAACAGAAGTATCTAAAAATAGATTGACGTTTGATTTCTGTAAATTTTGAAGAGCTGGGAATAGAGTTACAGGGATCTCAGAAAGAACGCTAGTAGCAAGGGTTCCATGCTAGCCTCATCAGTGCTTTTTGAGGACTTCAAACTCACGACCAATAAGCCAATCGATCGGGGACTAGGGAAAGGCTTATCATGAATACAAAACTTCGCTTATCCTTTCACAAAGGGGTAAACACGCAATTTAGTAACATTCCATTTATGGTCAAAAGAATGCATGGAACTGGGCTGGTACATACCACATTTTACAACGAATAGGTCGGTTCTTAGCTCAAGTGTCTGATTTACTTCCCCAAAGAAGGAACTCGGCAGGCCCTCCTGACATATATTACCTTTGCATCAGGCTCTTGGCGAGATCATCGAGGGTCACTTATCAGTCCTTGGGTTGAGATGCCTCAAAACGGTCAGCGCAATGGTGCGGAAAATAGCATACGAAAGAAATCCTCTCGTACAAATTCCACCACCCAAACCGGTGACACTGGGTCGGTCTTCCTGTCAAACAGCCATTCTGAGCTGTCACCAGATTATCCACAGAGGGTGAGGGGAATGGCAGAACTTGACTCGAGACAAAGAAGAATGCTAATGAACTGACAAACAGGACACTCACGAGGTCGGGACTCCTCTGAGTGTGACAAGTGGCTCGACGACTCTGTCCAGTGAATCTAATGGAGGAAACTATCGGCTGGGTACAATTAAGCGCGCGGCAGAAATCGACTTTATGAAGTTCACGTATCCAAATTGGTCCATCGGCGTGGAGGGTTCGCGGCAGGAACCCTCAGACTGTTTGGTGGAGAACTTGATATTTCCAGGCGGCAACGCCAACCAACGAGCTTCACCAAAGCGAACCGGCAAACCTCCGCCACAGCAGATTCTTAGACCTGCCAGTGACCTACGGATTGACACTCGAATTGGTAGTCGTTTCTATGCAAGGCGAGATGATATAGAACATGTCAGTTCCTCTCCATCGTGATTAAGAATGGTCAGTGAAGCTCGTGGGCCCATCAAGGAGGTTGACACTTTGAGCACATTGAAAGATAGGGGATTGATTGGAATTGACATTGAGATGATATCCCAATCTGCCCGGGCGATTAAGGTCCTAGTGAGTGTAATATAGACTGCAGCCCAATCAGCGGAGGCTAGTCGTCTGCTGTTATTACCTGCGGTTCCAACGGATCTGAACCTTGCAGGAGGGTAAAGGATTAGTCTGGCACTCCATAACTAACGTGCAAAGGACTAAAATGAAACCAATTGATTGTTCACATATTTTAGTCTGTTGAAATGAACCACTATGCGCTTGGAGTTGACAACTTCAATAGCCAAGTAAGAGACCATATAAAGATACATGAAACACAATTTGGAAATCATATTCCACTACTGATCGTGATAGTGGACTGGTGGATTGAAGGTTGACAGAGCGATATTATGTCTGCCGGTTTCATTGCTCTTCGGCAACACTGCAACCAAATGAGTTTTGTTCTCTTGCCTTTGGGTTGTCTGCAAAGCGCTATTGCCCGCTAGGTTTCTTTGTTCCTTACAATGGGCGTCTCTAAGTTGAATATTGTAATTTTGATCTGGCGCGGGGTTTTATACTCCAAAAGCTGTATTTGCTCAATCGTATTTGCTCAATCGTATTTGCTCAATCGTATTTGCTCAATCGTATTTGCTCAATCGTATTTGCTCAATCGTTTTTGCTCAATCGTTTTTGCTCAATCGTATTTGCTCAATCTTGTTCGCTCAATCGTGTTCGCTCAATCGTGTTCGCTCAATCGTGTTCGCTCAATCGTGTTCGCTCAATCGTGTTCGCTCAAATCGTATCCGATTGTACCAAGTCCCGACATTGTTTTATCCTGTTCCTGATGGCCAAAGATAGTAATTGTTCTTAAACGTGTGATTTTGCGGCTCTCAGAAAGAGTGAAACGACGTCTTGGTCGAAGATCCTTCTTGAGTGGCTAGCAATGGAGCTGGATGTGGCAATTCTGAGTTTGTTGTCTGCATCAAGGTACATGATGGCAAAGTATTGGTAAGGCATCGCATCGGCCAATTTGTGGCCGCGAGTGCTCCGAAAATGAATATTTTGGTCACGCGTCCCTGGAGCAACAGCCAAAAAATTCTTGGGGGGCTGGAAGCTTTTTTAGAGTAGCGACATCTCGTCCTCCATGGGCTTATATACTGCTACTGACTAAAGAGCGATAAGACCTGATTCTTGTCAGGGTGTGGGGCTGAATATGACATGTCATATTGGAAAATTTTCTGCGGGATTTGGCAATCGGGTTGTTTCAATTCCCCTCCCCACTTTTTTTTTGATTCGTTGCTCAGAAAATAATTTAGATAAACTGGGTTGTCCCATTCGGCGGCGATTGCTCCGGGCTCACCTTTCTTGCCCCCGTCGGCTCTGCGCCCCAACCAATCATTGAATTTGGGGGTTTGCAATAAGTCTATCCTTGCATTTCTCTACTGTACTAGAAAATATACAGTATGACAGTCAAAGTTGTCTCAACTTCAAGCAAAAGTGCCAGTCTTGCACATCACCCCCAATACAGAGTCGGCAATTGCACGCCTGAGTATAGAAACCTTTTTCAACCCCATTTTCTGCATGCAACTTCTCCACTTCTCCACAAATACGCATTGATCGTCATTTGATTTGAGACCTGCTACATTTTGAATCTCCTCAATGGTTGGTTCTCGCGCCTTCTCTCCATGCGATTTTTAGCATCTCAAGGCTCGCTACAAGCTGTTCTCGATGGAGCAAATCGCAGGATTACACACACACACACACACAATTCATTAACGCCCGACGACTGAGCCGAAAGGGCAACTATCGCTAAACTACTATACATGTCATAGTATATACAATTCTGTGACTCATTGGAGCCCATACACAAGACCTTGCCGTATTTGCCATTCTCAGCATGCAGTGTCGCAGCGGATACTCGTGGGTTGGTAATTCGGTTAGTAGACTGGCTTGAAGGCACTTCTCCAAGTGTTCAACATCCTATCTGAGGTGATTGGTGGGTTAGATTAGAATGAAAGAGGATGATTCATGTTCGTCGGCGGGGTTGAGTGGCCTCGAGGCGGCTTGTGGCTATGGCGAATCGTATTGAAGCCCGTACTGCCTCTAAGTTTGGCGTCCACTTTTGACCGTCAGAAGGCGACTTCCCTCCCAGGTAAAACGACAGGTTTCCTCGGTAAGTGTTGGTACATTGTAGCATATCCGTTCGATCTCCGGTCCATTTCCGACATCGATAGAGGAATTGCTCCACACTTTCCTTAGCTTGTCCGCACGCACACTGATCACTGTCGGCCGCGTTGATTCGATAGGGATATCCATTCGGTCTCGCCATGCCAGTCCGGAGTTGGGCTAGCACGGTTGCTTCCTTCCACGACAGGCGATCATTAAACAGTCGTGTGTGCTTTCCTGGAAGTGCTTGCATCTACTCGTTTGGTATGCTTTCCGACGTCCGCCGGCAGAGTATTTCTGGTGACTGCTTGAGACCGTGCGAGGCCAAGCGTGGTTGATTTCATCCTCGAAGCATGTTCTTGTAGGAGGCTTGGATCGCGCTAGGCCTAATTAGGCCAGACAAGGTCCCCAGACTATTTTCTTGATGTATCCCTGGTAGCTCGCCAAAGTTACCGTAATTACTGTTTCCGGCATGGGCAAACCCATGGTTGCCGAATGGCCCATAGCCTGACGTACTCAAGCTTGAAATTTTAACTTAGCTTCTTCGGTCGCATCCATTTTGTGGAACTCCGCCCCAACCCTTCAAGCTTTCACAAATCATATGAGTACTGTAATCTGAATCCATTGTAGCACTTCATTGTTCACAGATAAAATCTAAGTTGGTCTTATAATTTGGGCTTTAAGTTAGGTTCGTATCGTCATAAGTGAAATCGCATTTGCAGACTTTCAATAGTATCGAGATCGCCCTGAGATTCGTGAGATATTGCCACAGACTCGACATCAAATGATTGTTCATTGGATAATCCCCGGGCAAATTGGTCATTCATCGCCCTTGCGATCTTTTCAGAGCTTAAGTACACAATCTCTTTCACCCTTATCGCGTCAATAACTAACTTGCGGCAAACTTGCTTAACAAGGTTTTGAGTAGTCCGCTCTCTGAGGTCAATAGCATGATAAATCTCGTCGTTCCCTAGATATCCTGCTTCTTTGTAAAGGCGAAAATAAACACAAAGCGCTTTTAACGTCAGCATGGCGTCAAATGTTTCTCATGGATCATCAAACGAACGTCGTTGCAGTATCTCGGATCTTTGATCAGCGACCAATTCACCGCCGATGTCAGTCAGTGTGTGCCTCTAGTGCAGATGCGTGGCATACCTGAGCCATTTTGTGTCGCCTAGAGATTTTTCCCAACACAAAGCGCTCTCCGCGAACAAAATTGGTTGCTCTGAATGAGCCGTCCGGGCGCTGAGATGAAGGCGGACCATGCCTGCTGGGCCTTGACGTGAGACATTGTTTTGCGGGAAAAGAGTCCGCAATGCCCGCATACGATTCGCATTTCCCACAAAAAAGAGCAGACAGGGATACTGGCAGTTAGGATATGGCATCTCTTTCACCAGCTCTTCCAGGCGATGGGTATCTACCAAGGACCATACGCCGTCCTCGCGGACCAGATCGAGCCATGCTGCCATTGCTAGTCTCGGTCATCTTAGGTTGATGACATGCGCTCTTATATAGCGATGATCAACCTAGCTTGATAGACCGCAGTGTTGTCACTTTAGTCTATATCCTCACAATCTGCTTTCAGGGTATCATTTGAAGCGGACTGTAGGAGTCACATTTTGCCGCTTGCATGCAACCTATCATTTGCTACGCATCTGTGAGCCGAGAGTTGAGGGACCTCATAGAGCACCCTGTATATCTACCGTACAGCGAGGGTGTTTTTTCTTCACATAGGGGCCTAATTCAGAATGGTCAGAAAAGCAATAAACGGCAGACACCCAAAATGGCAACCGACTTGGACCGATTATCTGGCAGGAGTGGACAAAAGATTGAGGTAGGATAGTCCTGTTGTAAATCGACGGCGTAATTCAGCATGTCGCATTCCATATGTATGCATACAAGGGAGAGACATAGCCGGGCCTCAGTTCGCTCCCTACTGCCTCACTTGCAACTGTTCATATGTGGAGAGTGCGTGGTGTCATGTTGATATTCAATGCAAAGCGCCGATGGATCAACGTTGGGCGCGCTCGGAAGATCAATTAAGATGGGGTATTAGCTGCCAACAATTTTGAGGCTCCAGTCCTCACAACTGGTCGTTACGATCGCACTGTCACCAGTTGCATGGTTTTTTGAGTCGCCCGAAAAAAACTGAGCAAACGAAATCAACCACAAAATATTGCAGGATTGACAAGAGCGAGGAGTCCATACATGGAATTACACACACATTGGATCTCTAAGTCTATAAGACCCCGTCTAGCCGAGCGAGTCTCCAACACTCACCAGAGAAAAAATGTCATCCCTCGCACGCCAGACAATATGGGTCGATGCATCCGATCAAAGCCTCGATCCTCGTTCGACGACCACGCTCGTCTCGAACGCGGCCAGGCAACCAGAGGCTCCAGGTCCCGGTCCCAAGGTCAAGATATGTGACCAGGATCCGGAGGACCACTTTGACTCAATAGCGGAGATCATTTTCGATCGCCCTCTATGTATTGCGCGGCGGAAGCAGGCAAAGGGGGAATTGGTGCATATTCAAAAGTCAGAGTGCGCTACTTTGGCTCGAAACGTCTTGAAAGATTTCAACGACCAGACTCCCCACCGCAGCTTCCGACAATTGCTTGGAGGCTATCGCCATGGCGGTATGGCGTTTCTCGTGTGGGAGCCAGTTGAAGTATCCGTCGAGCAGATCATGGCGGCTCAAGGCATCATCAAAGCGACGGAGGTGATTGCCATTGCGAAACCGGTAAGTGCTGCGCAGCTTTCAGGAATGTATCTCTAACTGCAGCAGGTGCTTGAAGGCATTCGACATCTTGCAGACCACGGGAGGGTCCTCAATGTGCTGAATGCTAAGACAATATTGCTTACCGCCACTGGCCAAGTAAAAATTGGTACGAGGTGGAACACAATTTATGGAAAGCAGAGCTAACGTCTGTCTAGCCGGTGTCGAAAACAGCATCCAGATCGACCCCGAAGCGATGGATGCTGCTACTATGAAGCTTTCCGCTTTGGCCCACGTG